TCAGATGTGTGCGCGTCAGTGTTTCTGGCAGCATGACGCACAGTAGCCGGGAAGTGGAAACAATTCAAGTAAGCAGCAGCAGGTGAACGATGCGCTGCGGTCCACGAAGCCAAGTGTAGCAAGCCACACGCACTCGGGTGAGCACTGTCCTGGTTCATTTACATGGAACGTCTTAAATAAGCAAATTCACAGAAACAGAAAATAGATTAGAAGTTACTTGGGACTGAGGAAAGGGGAATTGGAGAGCTGATAGTTAATAGGCACAGTTGCTATTTGGGGTAATGAAAAAGCTATCCTGGTGATGGTTACATAATATTTTCAAGTCAGTTAATGCCATTGAATTCTAAATATAAAGCGGTTATAGTTATACATTTGCTGTCTATATTTTATCACAATAAAATAATGTACTTTGTTTTCTCACATTTGAATGGATCTACATTTTAGTGTGTAGTAGGGAATGGCAAAACAGCTCTGTTGATCCTCACAGCTCCATGAAATGGGCAGAATACCGACTATTCCTTGTATCCACCCTGCCCACGCTTGCCCCACTCTACTTCATGGATGTTAAATCTGGGCTTTGAGGATGAACAGCTGCGAAGACAGCATTTGCACCCAATCGCTTACACGCCTTGCTGAAGGTTTGAACACTGTTTTGAGAATTCAAGCTCTGGAAGTTCTTCCAGGGTCAAGTGATCTACAGATGCCCTGAGTTGTTCCCATAGCCTTTAGTTCCTGGTTATGACAGGCTTCCACCCCACCTCTCCTCAGAGCATCTGAACATCTGGCTGCAGTATAATTAAGGGTATGTGAATTTAGTCCAAACAGGCCCAGGAAGAGATTCAAAGGTAAGAAGTTCTACTCAAGAAGATAAAAGATATCCAAATAGAACCTAAAAAAGTCAAATGTTTCTATAGAATGGATCTGATGACTCCCAAAGCTGGGGGGGGGGAAGTGAATTCGACAGGGAAACAAGGACACGAGACACTGTAGGGCTTGCTGATCAGGGGCCGTGTCATTAAGAGTCACTGGGAACTAACTGTACCTCATTTAATCCTCTCAACAGCAGGTAGGGAACTGTTTGCACTTTACAGATGAGAGAAGGTTGAGCGCTTGACCATCACCATACAGTGAGAGGGATGAACGTGAAAAGAGAACTAGGTGTCTGACTTCTAAACTAGTGCTGTTTCCATTATGTTGCAGCTGACTGCATCCAAGAGAAAGTGTCCACTGTCCTGTAAATGCCACATCAACTATGGCTGTTACTATTCTAGGTTCCAGGTGGCGGCTGAGGGCTGTGTAAGGCAGTGTGGGGATGCCACCCTGGATATGAAGTTCCTTTTTATGGCTTATGCCATTCAAACTGGCATAAATAAGACATAGCTGAAGATTAAATGTCCTGAACATGATTAGCCCATTACATTTTTGACACCTACTGCCAGAATTTTGTCCTGTGTACATTTCCCCATCAAGTTCTCTTAATCAAGTTTCTAAAACATTCAGGGAAGGTTGTCTTCTTTCTGACTACTTCTCTGGGAGGAAATACTTGTATATCTTGGGGAAGAAAACCAATTTTCAATCTAGAGTTCAAGTCATCAAGAAAATGTGGCTTCACCATCCCTACCCCTGCCTTGGGTGACCAACTAGTCCCGCTCTGCCCAGAACATTCCAAGTGGAAAGTCCCTGTCTATGTCCTCCCTTCAACCCAGAGCTCCCTTCCACCCAAGGCAGTTGCTGATTTGTTGTGACCCTAATGTCCTTCCTCAGTTTTCCTCTCTGAATCTGCACTCCTTCCATCTCTAAATGCACATTTTGCAGATTTGATCCTACTGGAGTGGGAGACTTGATAATAGCAAATAGCCCCAGGCTGAGGGAGGTGGCCCTTTGGGGCCCTCCCAGAGTTGTGTCCTTGGGAAAGTTTTCTTTTTTCCTGCCTCAGAGCTGTGAATCACACTCCACAAAGACTTTTAGAGGATTTAACTACATCTGGCAAAGGATGTGTAGATGGACCACATTTGCTCATAAAAGTGGATGGCAGGTTTGGGGGGTGGGGTGGGGCTTGAGAGCTTCCTAACAGTGGAAGAATGGCTGCGCCAGTCAGGTGATCAGAGGTGAGAGGAGATTTTGGAGCCTCTCATTCTCACCAGCAGGAAGTTGAGACTAGCTCATTGCTCCAGGGAAAATTCTTAATGTTTTCAGAGTGGAAAGTTCTAGCAAAGCCAGAGGGGAGCAATTACAGACAAGGTCAGTCCGTCTGTGAAGCTGACTGAAGGTAATGGACCGGATTCAACACAAACCAGGTTGTCTTTCAGTCCCTTGGCACAGTGGGTTCCATCAGTTTGGCTGGCGGTGACCCTGCTCACCTCAGCGGGATGGGCGAGGCGCCTTATCAGCCCAAAGAGCGTCCCTGTGTCCTTAGGAAGAGGAGTTCGCTGTCCATGGTTAGGTCCTTTCTGTCACGTCACAGGTCATTTCTGGCTCGCGCTTTGCTGTTCCAGGGCGTGGCTATCTGATCGCTTAGGAGGGTGGGCAGGTTGGCGGCAGTTCAGCCTTCCCTCTGGCGGAGAGTCTCAGGATGGAGAAGACGAATTAGCCGCGTGCGTGCATGCCTGCGTCGGGCTTACGTAAGTCGCAAACGCAGAGCGGGGAGGACGCTGCGCTGCAGTCTGGTGGAGAGCCGCAGTGCCGGCAGCTGCAATGCAGAGGCCTAATGCTAGTGGGGCCACGCACGTGGGTGGGAACCGGGTGGGTAGGGGAAGCTTGTGAGAGCGGGTGGCGTGCCAAGTGCGGGAGGTTTCATAGGAGACCGAGGAGGAGGAGGGAGGAAGAGGGTGAGGCCCGGGAGGGGGGAGGGATTAAAGCAGCAGCCTCAGCGGCTGACTAGCTCCACCTTCTCTCCATGGCTTTCTTTCCCTTTGCTCAAGCTGCACTGTCCTATCCTCCAGTATCTCGCCTGGCTCCTCGCCAAGGCTGGGTTCAAAGCTGCCTTCCCCGGCGCTTGGCAAATAGTAGCTCCGTAATGGATGGCTTTTGCTGGAGCCCCGGTGATTGGGGATCCCAGGATCTAAGCTGGACTGGGGACCTCTGTGCTGCACCCGGTCTGCCCACCTAGGAGAAATTCCACAGTGGTTCTTGAGCCTCATCTGGAAGGAGAGCTGGGCTAGGTCCTTTAGGGCACGCTGCTGTCCTCTGGGGCTTTGAAGATAACGGCAAGAAAGAGGACAAAACTGAGAAAATTACAGCATTCGGTGGGTCGTGGTACCTAATACCTTGAGGGAGACGGAAAGCGCTCTGTTGGGTTGTTCATTGTTTTTGTATAGGTTTAAGGACAGTACCTAAGACATCTTTTCTGTTAGCTGGTTTTCTGTTCTGAAAGAACAAGATGGAAATTATTTTATCTGATCTCTACAGACCCAATGCAGTTTTCAGTAAGACAGAAGCTATGGGTACCAACCTTTTAGCCTACGTCCTTGTAGTTACCCTAAATGCCTTCCAGAGCAGACAGATGTGGCTAGAGATATTGCCTCTATCACTTTCATGCCGTATGATACTGAGCAAAGAGCCTTCATTCACCCTCCGTTTTAGCTGTGAAGTGCATTTTTCCTCATTTGCTACTTTTAAGAAAACTAAATTTGATATAGTGAATGATTATTAATATGACATAATAGGAGTCAATATTAAGTCAAAAATGTATGCCAAAATACCATTTTCAACAAGGTATAATCATGACACACATGCAAATGTAACATGAATAAATGTCAAAAATTTTACTTAACCCATTAATTAACTAGAAAATGAGTAAAAGGTTGAAATGAGTTCAAAGGAGAGTTCTGAAGAACAAACACACACATACACACACACACTCTATAGTGTAATGAAGTATAATATTTAGAGTAATTTATTTTACAGTATGGAAATTAATAAAATCACCACATGAAAATTAATTTTCATTTTGATAGACAAGAATTACTTGCTCTAGTATCAATTTGCTGAAACGTCTATTCCTTTAGAATTGTAAAATGAATCTGTGAATTGGTAACAGCTAAAGGTATATTGCCTGTGTGTGGAATCATATAATATCAGAACTTCTTCAAGCTCATGTCTACTCCATCATGGAAAGGGGTCCCAGGAAATTCTCTCATAATTAAAAATAAATCAGAAGACCAGATATCCATGAAGCTGGAGATAGGAGTTTACAAAACTCAGTTGATTGTAAATACTGAGGCACATCTGCATTTGTGATGTTGCCTTATCAAACACCTTAAATTTCTAGCATTCAGGTTATGACAGGAGGCATCTGTAGAGGTTATTGAAGGGATCTCTGGTACATCTGTGGCCAGGAGAGAGAAATCCTGCCTTTGGTTTCCAGGGCTGAGGTAACAAACCGGAGACAAAAAAGGAGCTTTAGACCCCAAAGAGGTTGATCAATGTCATGGGGTGACAGCTCCAAGACAGGATAGCTCTCTCCTCTGCCTTCTGTCTGCTCCAGGACAGCCTCTCAGGAGCCACGAGTCGTGTGGGCATTAACACATTCAGTCCCCATCATGGAAGAGCAGACACTGATTTGCAAATAATCACAGCCAGTAGAAATGCTGAGAATGAGCATGATTAGGACTCTGGAAAATTTTTACCAGGAACTTAATTCTCAGAGTATGCCTAGGAGTCGCTATATCACAAACACTTTGGGTATCATTCCAATTTGATGAGTGTAGTGACATTTAAACAACCAACAAACCAAAACTCCTCCTTTTGTTTCTCTTTTGGAGATATGAGCAGCCAGTGTCTCAAAGACACCCAGGAAGAAAGGAAGGTGAAGGAGGACCAGGCAGAAGAATAAAGGGACCATCGTATTCCTCTTAACTCCTCTGAGTTTGAGGGAACCCTGGAGAAGTGAGAAAAAACACAATGGAATAAATCCAGCCTGATTTATTCATGGACAGGAAAGGATCTCCTTTCCTTGCTGGTTTGCATAATTAGAGCTAATTAATGTAAAGCAATTGGAGATGGAGATCAGAGGCCATTTTCAGTTGTTATTTTCTAAAGACAGCAATCAAAATGCAGATGAGCTCAGCCCTGAAGAGGATTAGGCTTGCTATCAAAGGAGAAAATGGCAAATGTATGACTATTGTGGCTTCTCTGTCCATAGTGGCTGTCTAGGCTGGTAGCGTGGATGTGATGTGGCTGGCTGGCTGACACACTCCTCTTCCTTCATTGACTGCCTTCTACCAAGAAAGGCTCAGTGCTGCTCTAGTGCTGCCTCTCTGGCCGCTGAAGGGAGGCAGGGGGCCAAGGAGTCTGCTTTCTTCCTACCTTCACCCCATCCTGGAACAAGGTGAGCGGCTAAGTGTCTTTCCCCCAAGTAGGCCAGTCCCTGGGGGTTTGAGACTGGCAAGGCACTGCAGGGCATCATAGCTGGGCAACATAAGCAATGGATGCTCATTCTGACCTGCAGTCTGAATCGCTGGAGCCTTCTCATCAAGTTGAGGGGCAGGGTGGGACGGAATTAGAAACAGCCCACCAAGACATGTGAAAGACAGGGCTGGACGCCACCCCAGTGGAGAACGCTGATCTGACTGAGGCAGACAGATGCCTCCTCAGCCTCCATTTTTGTTTTTTTCATAGACAGAAAAAAGAGTGACTGCTAACAAACCCATGGAACAAACAAACCAAACTCGGATGAAATTGCTCACCCCTTCCCTAACAGCAATAGTCAATGGACACTGGGCTACAGCAGCTGCCTGTGTGTCTCTCAGGCTATTTGCTGCTGTCCCCAGGGAGCCCCACAGTCCCTCCCTCTCCTCTGTGCCAATGTTGCTTAATTTAGCTCTTGCAGCATGTGCCCAGTCTATATTTAGTGCCTAAAAGTCAGAGTTGAGCATACATTTCACCAGGCCATCAGTCATTGCTACATCAGGGTGACACATATAGAAAAAGCCTTCTAAGAGAATCACCTGGTTGTTCTCCACCAGGGGAGGAAGCTGTGGTCAGAGAAAGGAATTCCTGGGGCCAGTGGTGTTCCCCTCTCCTGGGTGTGCTAGACCAGCCTGAAGAGCACCAGGCCTTGAGCCAGAAGCCAGGGGTGGCATGGCTCCAGAGGACACAGGGAGACAAGAGGGAGGCAGGACTCCGAAAGTAGACAGCAGGCCCTGAAACAGAGTCAGTCCCTGTTGAAATCACAGGCAGCTGACTATGGCTCCTCAGGTCCTTACTTAAGTGTCAGTTTTGGATGGGAGCCTGCCTTAAGCTCCCTCAGATGAATCAGGAGTCTCCAAGACACCAACGTTTCCTCTACTTCTCTGCAGCAGACCCTCTTGAAACCTTCATGGGCAGACAAATGACGTGGGCTATATTAAAGAGCAGGTGACCCTTTGATGCTTCTGGGTAGGCCTCAGTCTTGCATTGCTAGCATGTTCCCAGGAGAGTCTGAGCTCCAGGCAGAAGTTTAAGATTGTATGGCAGTGACTGTACTGGTGAATGGTCATGAGCTGTCTTCTGTCATAGCCTGTGAGGACACCAAACACATTGGTGCCATGTGCCAGTCAACACAACACTCAACAAAAGATTTTAATATATGAATAAAGGGATTTGATCCTGAAGAAAGGCTTCTAGACACATCTATTTTTGTTGTTGTTGCTGAAACAGGGTCTTGCTACTCAATACGAACTCGTAGTGATTCTCTTGGTTTAGCCACCCCAGCGCTGGGATTACAGGCCTGTAGCACTGAGCCCAGTTCTGGGGCTGGCTTGGCATGTGATACTGGGATCAAACTCAGGATCTTGCATTTTCCAGGCAGGTGCTTATGCCACCAAGCTATCTCCCAGCCGCTAGACTCATCTATTTTTGTTCATGTCAACAGCAAGAATTAAAATATGTAGAACTTTATCATTCATAAAGCACTGGAAAACTGTTCAATCCTGATAACCACCTCATGAAATATTTGTTATTATTATTTTAAGTAGTTTTTAGTAGGAATAAAAGATCCTGAAAGGACTTTTGTGATTTTCTAAGTATCATGTACTCTTCCAAAGAAGACAGTCAAGACTCAGTTAGGTCTTCTGACTCACAAGCCCAGACAGGAGCTGGACAGTGCTGCCAACAGGCTTTTGGCTAGGAGTGGGAGGATGTGATCCTTCCAGGGAATGGGCTGGGGAATGTAGCTACCCTATGTCTTCTTGGGGCCCTCCATAGAGGCTGAAAAGAGCACTGGTCTAGAGCAGTGTCCACGGGGAATGACTGAAGGATGGTTGTTGACCTCAAGCAGATCAAGGCTGTGATAGAATAGGACAGCAAGAGGGCTGATTGGGGCAGGAGGAGAGAGAGATACAGAGATAGAGATAGACATAGAGATGGAGAGGGAGAGGGAGAGACACAGAGAGAGGAGAGAGAGAGATAGAGACAGAGACAGAGACAGAGACAGAGACAGAGACAGAGAGAGACAGAGACAGAGAGAGACAGAGACAGAGGCACAGAGGCAGAGAGACACACAGAGACAGAGAGACTGGGAGAAAGGAAGTGGCCAGCCTGTGGGAGTCCCCTCCACTACTGCCACCACAATGGCAGGCCAAGGATGTCCTGTGATGAGGGACCCTTCCTAGCCCAGGGCCAAGAAGTCTTGCATTCATGGATTTCATATCAGATCCTGAGCTGCTCACTCTCTCCCACTGAGACACCCTCTTTCATCAGAATAAACAATGTGCAGAGCTATTCCACTTGGGGGGTGATGCCTGGGTTTTCCTTCTCCTGAACAGCAGCTCAAGAGAGAGACAGTTAACTGAGTCATCCAGGACGCTACATAAGAGAGGAGCACAATGACTCTATTTAGAACACAGGTCCAATGACAACTAAGAGTGGGCAAGGACAAAATGTATCATATGATTCAAGAGAGAGTTACTGCAGTAGGGAGAATGTTCATTAGTGAGTAATGTCCCAAAGAAAAGAAACTTGGAGTTTCATAAAGGTAGATAAATAAGAGTCAAAGGATCTGATCTTGGAATATTGAGAAATTTGGAAAGCAACAGGGTTTGAAGATTTCTAAGAATAACAGGATAGTAAAATTTCTTAGTCTTGGTATTTTCTTGGAGCACACAGCTGAGAAAAGTTTCAGCACTGTCAGAACACACAGTGGTGATAGTTAAATGGGCAGTGGAGATAGCTTTAGGACAGTGCATGCCATAAGTGTGTCAGGACCTTAAATAACATACGGACCTTTGTGTCACCTGGCATGAGGTAACGAGTGGCACTGGCTTGAACCTGTTCTTAAGAGCTAGTTGTTAAATATATGTGACAAAGATTCTTTTCATGGTCAGGCACTTTTGTTCTTTTTTTCAAGGATTATTTTGGAAGTGGACACTAGTAGGGACTGAATATAAGATCTTTGCCCTGAGCCATATATCAGAACTTATTATTTTTTTAAATTTTGATACAGGATCTAGCTAAATTGAAACCTTGGCCAGACTTGGCTTGAACTTGCTATCCGCCAGCCTCAGCCTCCCAGGATGCTGGGATTTCAAGTCTGGTCAGATTTCATTTCTTTAGTCAGACTTCTGAAACTTCCCTTAGGCCCACCTAATGGTGTCTTTTTAAAATCTAGTTTTAAAAAAGATCCTGCTGAGTTAGTTTAGCTTAATATCAGATTTTCTTCAATATTCTATGAGATTCCTCTTCTGTACCCCTTGGCTGATGTCTGGTCACCTGGTCTGTCTTTAGCTATAATCTTGTTAGATTAATTTAGCCAGAATACCAACCCCCCATTTCCTGATCTTTCTACTTCATAATTTTCCACCTGCTGACCCCACCCTGATTCATGGCTCTGATGCCCACTTGCCCCTGCATTATTCTAGTTAAGGGCCATTTCTGTCTCCCACTGCGAGATGGTAATGCAGTAGTCCCTGTATTTATGATGGTCTTACATAAAGTCTGCCTTGCCATTGTTTTAGAGAGTATCACCAAGTAATTTTTTCTGATTGACAAACAATTGGTGGTTTGAAATAAGATGATGGCAGTATTTATTTATACCATGAAAATTGGTAAACATGATAAAGCAGGGTTTCTCCCCTATTTATATCTCCAGATATAACACACTTCTCAGCATAATGATGCCCAGAAAAATCCCATGGAATAAGAAAAGTGAAATGGACCTTGAAAACTAGGAAAAGAAGCATGTTGAGTTTCTGTACCTGAGATCAATAGAAAAAAAGTGAATTTTGAAGTCCTTTAATTACAAAACTAAGCACTCCAAGTTAAATAAAAATAAAAAAAAAGATTTCTATAAGTAAGATCTTGTGGTCTGAACAAAAATTGTATTATTATTTCCAAATAGAACAAAAGAATTGTCCCAGAAAATTTATAACAATTTTTGAGTTTCTATAGCCTGGTTAATTATGAGATTTCTAGTGCCTTCTGAAATGCCAGAGTGAGATTACTTTCTGATTCCTATTCTTTGACTTTATGTATTGTATTGTATTGTATTATGATTCTTTTTCAAGTGTATATAATTATATCTTTCTCCTTTTTTAAGATGAAATTTTGATGACCTTATATGCTACATTATTCAAACACAGGAAATAACATAACTAGGATAGGTGTTGATAAAATTCCAGGTCGTGTTGTATACAGCTGGGATCTCCAATGCTACCAATGCATTTTTCTTTTGAAGTTCAAGGTGTGATTGAGCCTGTAACCTTATCATTCTTTATCCCCAAACAAGTCTTTGGATCATACTACTTTCTTCTAAGGAACAATTTTAAAATTATACGTTATCAAGTGAAGGGTGATTAGAGCAATATTATATCAAGTCAAACTATTTCTGCAACTGACATAAAAACAAATCTTTTTGAAGTACATAGAATATTCAGAACTCTGCCCTTGAAGAATAATCAGGAGTTAGAAAAGGGAGGAAGAGAGAATTCCTGTAAAGGAGACAGTGTTTGGTGATGTCATTGTACAATGAAACACTCATTGTTGTGTTAACTGTAGTACAGATAATTTTGAGATACGATCTAGTTGGCTTAAAATAAGAGGGGATAAGATTAGAGTCAGATAGTAGTCACATCATTCAAAGTCTCCATGGGAGCCTAGCCTTACCAGGAGAGCGCTCGGTGACTTTGCAAAGGATTCAGCAAGAGCAGTAAAAACAGTGAGGGTACAGAAGGGAAGAGGATGACACAGGAAGCTGCATTGAGAGGGCAAAGGAAGTGATCCCTGATTGCAGGGGTTCTGCACTGTTGTCAAAGGACCTAGGACTCTGTTGAAGAGATACAAAGGCAGAAGAGTTTTGGGGTCTTAGTGACTGATAAGAAGGTTGAGACAGTAAAAATGAATGACACAAGTCAAAGGTTTTAATGTTCAATGACTGAACAGAAAGTACTATTTGCCAAGATAGTAAGTACAAGAGATTTTGATCAGATGTAATCAACATGCTGGGGCCAACTTGCAAACTGCTTAGGATTCCTTAAGCTCTTTGTTAACTTGGATATTTCAGTAGGAACATAACTCGAGCTGCCTGCCTTCATGATGGTCAGCTGTGGGTATATACTACTACTTCCAGCTATAATACAAACAACATATGCCTGAGGATAATTAATATAGATCTGCGTAGTCATAAAGAGTTACACAGGGGCCGGGGAGATGGCTCAGTGGAATAAGCGCTTCCCTGGCAAGAACAAGGACCTGAGTTCAATCCCTGGTTCCACAAAAAAAAAAAAAAAAAAAAAAAAAAAAAGAGTTACACAGTAGCTAGTTGTGCCTGGCTGATGCAGACCTGAACTGAACTTTATGTTGTCTCTTTTCATACCACTAAGGTATTCTTAAGCTTTTGTTTCACAATAAATGTTGATTAATTATATTATTGATTAATTTTTCAAGATAGCAATGCAAACAAATGGCATGACTGTTTCTAACAAGATGAACCCAGTATAACTCATTTTTAAGCCTTTGAGGTTTTGCAGAATGCCATTTTGGGAACACTGTTGTTCTTCCTTGTAGTAGAAACCCCATACCAAATTAGAATATATGCTCAATAGTCATAACGTAAATATTTTTTAAAAAGAATATCCATACAGAATGGATATAATATCTATTTTAATGCAATAATATTTATTTGCAAAAAATTGATACTGATTTTAAAATTATTGCTTTACTCAGTAAGTATGGTCAATATTAGTGAAACTTTCAAATTACCTAGATCTCATTATCTTCTGTGGCTTTATCCTGCTGTCTCCTATCTACAAGCTTATCATCACTTACACCAATTCTTTCTCCCTTAAGCCTTATTAGAATACATGTCTGGCCTTCTGTCTGAAGCAGTCATTTTCAACTGAATTTCCAAATTGTCATCCTATTCTGTTTCTCTAGGATCATGCAATAGCCTTATCTACTTTTATCGCCAATCTCTTCCTTTTTAGTAACTATCCTTAATGTCTGCCCCACTTAAGCAAAAAACCCATCAGACTCAAGCCAACTTCATGTATAATCTTGATTTTTCCTTCTTTTCAGAGGAATATTACTTGAACTAGTAGTCTGCACTCATTGTTAGCATTTTATTCCATCTAATTAATTTTCAAACCTTAAGATTTCTGTTCCTAACATTTCCCTGAAGATATTTTTATATGGTTATCTTCTTATCATCAAATTCAGAAGTGACTTAATCTGAAGCAAAAGAAAGCTGGTGTTTTAAATGGGAAACCATTGTAGGGTTATGAACAGAAGAGTGGTGTGATGTGACTTCTGATTTATCAAGTTTACTCTGGAAGGTGGGAGTAGGCAGTCACAAAGACCACTAGGATGTTACTAGTCATATTTGTAAGATACAGTGTGGCTCTGACTGACATGGCAGCAGTATGGATGGTGAGGAGTGGTGAGATTTCGGGGCTTTTGAAAGTAGAGTTGACAGGACTTGCAAGTGGAGCAGAAATTGAGTATGAAAGAAAAGGAGACAAGGGTGATTTTAAGATTTTGATATGAACAGATATAGGAGAAAACTGGTTGATAATCTTCCATCTTAGGTAATCATGAAACAACAAGATTGCTAAGCCTCTCTTACTGCTCCTGGTCCTGTGTTCTTTTAGATGGCACTATTTTAAGGAGAAGCCGAAAAGAAGACTGGAAAGGAGCAACCAGTGAAGGAGAAAAACCAGGAAAAACTAATGATCCATAAAAAGTACTTCAAGAATGAAACCATGATCAAGTAAGATAAAATATAAGAACTGATTCCTAAATTTGTGCCAGGAGTGTGGGAGGAAGAGAAGGAGGAGTACAGAGTAATAAGACACTGAAGATCTTGAGGAGAGTATTTTAAATGCAGTGAGTTCAGGATTGAATGGAAGAGTAGATGTAGTACAGATAGCTTGGACTGGATTTGCTGTCAAGGGAGTAGAGAGAAAAAGGAAGAGGTAGAAGTAGTAGTGAGGTTGAAAGGTGGGTTTTGAATGTAATAAACTACATGTCTGTGTGCTCATAGAAAAATTCATTGTGTAGGAAGGATATGGTAGAATAGATGGAACAACATTCTTAAGAAATTATAAAGGGATAAAACCTACAGCACAAATGCAAGTGGACTAGGGGAATGAGGAGTCCATACATTATAGCAAGCGAGAAGGCAGCTCATATAGGTAGAGCTGTGGGCAGATCAGTAAACAGGAACTCATGGCAATTTCTTTATTGCTGTTTCCAGTTTCTATGAGAAATTAAAAGCATGGTCATGAGCTGCATATGCGACAGAGAATTGTAGGAGGTTTGAGGAGGGAGGAGATGTGAAAATCTTGTCTAGGGGAGAGAAAGGTTTAATAGACAGGGGATGTGTAATAAGATGAGAAGACTGCACAAGGTGACTCAGGTGGGCTGGTAGAATGCTGTGAGAGTGACTGCCTTTGGTCTGGTTATGTGCTTTCCCCAGTAGGGCTGGAGGCACAGAAAGGAGAGGATGCTTTAGCCACGCTCTCCCTTTTCTTATTTCTTATAGTGAATAGAGCGATTGAAGCTCTTGGCTGTTTGCTTTGGGAGAGGCCCTGGAGGAGAGCTAGGGTTGCACACAGGCAGTACATTCTGTGGAATGTCTACTCTTCCTACAAGTCAGCCTCATCAGGCTGGCTGGCCTTTGAGTGCACTGGTATTTTAAGCATCTAAATGTGTCCTGTGCTAGCCTGGCAACCATTGCATGCAAGCCAACTGTCATTGCCCTTTGTGCTGACTTGGAGACCCTTAGAATCCTCAGTCAGCAAAGCCTGATCTGAACTGGATTGACAACTGTTTGCCCAGGGACTTACATACACAGTATGGTAAAGGAGATAGATTTGGAGTCTCCATTAAAAAAAAGAGGAGTGTCAGGAAAGGACGTACCTGGGGAAATAAATGAGTTTGAATGTGATAAATAAAACAGGCTTAAGATAAAATGTTCTCTCCTACTTCTAAAAAAATTCATAAAGTATGTAAGGTAGGATTTTAGTGTATAATGTGTAACTTCAGTATCTATTGATGTCCTCAGCCCTATAAGCTAGCATTAAACATAGTAATTAGATTATGGAGTGGTTTTGCATTAAAATCTGGAACACATTTGGAACAGCATGTGACAAATGATAAAGCTCAATACATATTAGAAAACTGTATCAGTTAGGGCTCACTAGAGGAACAAAATTAATATTTAACATATATTTGATGATATCACCTGCCTGCAGAGTCAGGTTTGAGGAAATTAAAAGGACCATATTCTACTTACTGAAGAGCTGGAGGATTTAGTCAAAAGCTTGGAGGCCAGTTTCAAGTCCTGTATGAGTTGTGGGAAGCTAAAGGGTCAGCACTGGAAGGCTGAAAAGTCAGTGCTAGAAGCCTGGAGATGGATGTCCACAGGCAATGGTGAAGACTGGAGCTCCTGTAAAGAAATAGAAACCAGACTTCCTTCTTCCTTCCCTTTTTACTCCATTCATGTTGCAAGCCTACTGACTGATGTCACCCATGGCCAGAGTGGGCCTTCCCTCCACTGTAAGTCAATCATCAGACACACTCAGAATTGTGCTAAACTAGTTTGCTCAGCAGTTCTTATTCAAGTTGACACCACAGCTATCACAAAAATATGCTAACACTGATCAGCTGTTATTATTGTATCACTGTGCCTTGACTAGGGCTGAGCTATTTCTTCTTTCTATTCCTTTTTCTTAGACTAGAAGAGTTTCTTTTAAATCAAGGACAGAAATTAATAAATTGATAAATATAGTTCTTGTAGGAGGCTAGTGCCTGTCCCCATGTTATGGTGGGCAGTGGGAAGACAAGTGATTTAAAGAAGCCAGAGACCCCTCAGCCAGCCCAGGCACCTGGCCAACCTCCAACTTCATAAGCTTTACTTTTGGTGTGTAAAGTAGAGAAAACCCTTGAAATTATTATCAGGGTTAAAAAAATCAATGTATATACTGCGCCTTGAATAGTGTTGGGCATATAGGTTGCATGTGATGATGGTGATTGAGATCATCAATAATTGTGAGTCCTCCATGTGGGGAAACCCTTCCCACTCTGCCCCATGTACAGAGACCCTCTGCACATTTTCAGCATCAGCTGGACACCAGCCTCTGCAAGAATACAGATTCCCTTGGTTTCTTCCTCTGAGCTCATTTACTCTATATGTGCTTCTGTGGAATCATTTCTACCTCAATTAATTTTGGATTATTTTTTCCTTGTATGTCTGTTTCTTTAATAAGACAGATTTAGGGATTCTTAAGTACATCTATGAATCACCTCACAACTTAGTAGAAAGGATAGGATGCAATGGGCATCCAAAACTGTAGAATGAATTGAGAACTTAGTCTTCAAAGTAGAGAATTGACATGCAGTTAGAAAGCATCCATTTCTCTTTGTTTTCCTCAGATTTTGCCAATTAGAATCCTAGGAACAACTCTCTTGAGCTGGCAGACACCTCTTCTGGAATCCCACCCACTTTAGCACTTGGTATTGCATAGTTTCTGGTATATCAGGAGCAGAACACTTACGTTATCCATTGTCATTATGATTGTGGGCATCACCATCATTATTGCTAGCACAGAGACAGCACCGCACCTGCTTATGACCAAGGGAAAGAAGGACAACGTAAGCCAAATGTCATCAGGACACATTGTAAGATGCAAATTCACCAGCCTGCTCTTGATCTTGGAGCACAGTGTTGACGCACACTGAGTCAAGATGACATCACGGACAAGGCACAGCTGAAGAAAGCAAGCTGCACCTGGGTAGGTTCAGCTACTTCCAGCACCAGCTGGGCAGAGTAATCAGAGAGGGTAAATACTCAGTAAAGGCAATCCAAAAATGAAGCTTACTTCCTTGCCAGAGATAAGGTAACATGTTATAAAAATGTACTCTTAAAACTCTGAGGACAGGTGCTAGACACTGGATCTCCAGCTGCTGAAAGCATCTCAGATGTGCTTTAGGAAAATGACTGTGAAGATGAAGGTCAGCCAGAGGAGGACCTTTCCATCACCTAAGCTGCTGCTGGCCCTTCTCTGTAACCAGCTGACAGTCATTTTATCAGCAGCCAAGAAGATAGAAACTCTAACTGAAACACATGGCATTGCATTATAATAGAAAGATAAGTAGGTCCCAGTCCTGGTTTTAGCATTCACTAGCTCTGTTTTTTTTTTTTTTTTTTTTTTTTTAAAGTTACTTATCCTTGCATATGAATTTCCTAAGCGTGGCTGAAACGATTAGAGATGATGTAACATACTCCACTATATGTTCAGTAACTGGAATCTTCATCATCAGAGACCATATACCTTACATGTCATTCTTTTGAAGCACAATTAAATCCTACTAATCATAAATAAAAACATTTCAGGTAGCACGGTTTGGACATGCGCCTACTGAGAATCTTTTGCCCAGTCTTTTGAGATTGACATCTCAGGAGATAGTACAGTTGGTTTCTTTCTATTCTGTACCCTGTATCTCAGTTTAGAGAGTTCTTGTTAGGGGTAGGGAGCTAGAAAATAAAATAACTACAAAGTCCAGTTTCTACTGCAGAGATAATTGTTGGAGAGCACAGATTCCATTACTAGAAGGTGAGTGATTCCATTTTCCTACAGCAAGAACTAGTTAATAATACACAGCAATTCACACAGTGTGACTCCCCAGGCACTCACTGGAGGATAAGGACAGGGATGGACATAGAAGAATGCAGAAGGACTGAGATTCAAGTAAAATACTTTGGATGGGGCAACTGCACCTTATGTAGGATGAGCAGCATGGAGGTCACTGTTGCACTCAACTAAAGCTAGGAAAGAAGATGAAGAGGGAGTCAGCAAAGGAACAAGGAAAAAGAGAAGGGAAGAGGTCAGTACAGGAGAGAAGCATTAACGAGAAATCGAAGTGTTCTGAGGGAAGGCAGGAAAAGATTGTTAACAGAATGGCCAATAAAAAGATAAAATTTGTCCAAAATGAAAGGGATCTGAGAGAAAACTTTTTTAGGAATATCTAATTTAGTGGTGAGACTTTTTTTTTAATGCATTTGATAAACCCGTGGTTGAACCTGCACACGAAAGAGCATGTAGCTGTTCTACACAAATTCATGGAGCTGATGGAGTTCATCGACCATTAAGCTGGTCTGTGGTTTCCTTCTAATGACATCCTGCCTCATATATTCATACAGTTTATTTTGAGACACTGATCATATGCTACTTCATACAGATTATTTTGAGACAGGTCTAATGCTTCCTCAGAGAGCTCGGGAGCTCTATAAGTCAGACATTATTATTATTATTATTATTATTATTATTGTCTTCTCAGTTTCATGAATATCACTTCAGAATATAGCTGTGATTATATTTACTCATATGGTCAGTATATTTATTTCTGTTTTAGAAAGGAAAGTGTTACTGGAGATATATATTTTTTTGAGATCTCTCTTTATATATAATTATTTCTCTGTCTCTGTCTCTGTCTCTGTCTTTGTTTCTCTGTCTGTCTGTCTGTCTCTCTCTCTCTCTCTCTCTCTCTCTATATATATATATATATATATATATGAATTCTACATGGCCCAGGAGTTCTGATCCAAACGAAAGAAGATTGTGACTTCAAATAACAAAACGTACCGTGTGAGAGCTAAGGGATAAGGCTGGATGGCAGAGGTCTATGGGGGCCTCCTTAGTAGACAGTTGTTTTTAACTATCTACCAGAGAGTAAGGAAAATAGGAGTGTGGAAGACAGGAGGTAGCAGGAAGGCAGAGCCCAGGGGTACTGTTGGTTAGGATGCAGATCATGCAGGGCTAGGCAAAGCTCCATCAATCAAAGCTCCATCAATCTGTCCTTCTTGTCTCCCATGCAGCAGGCATCTGCTGATTTTACTCTTTCAGGGGGTGACCCTCTTCCTGCCTGTCATCCCCTGTGGCCTCATCCTTTCTCTTGAACAGACTCTGTCTGCTCAGACTTTTTTATTTCTGTTTTTCTTTCTCCACGCTTTTGTCTTTTTCCAATTTTTAATAGCTGATCCCTTTGAATGTCCCCCAAACTGCACTGGCAGATCTGAATTCCCATCATTTTGATGGTGACTTTCGTGGTGATTTTGCAGTAGCTGACCCTGAGATCTGTGTTCACCCTGGTTCATTCTGTGAGTAGATGCATTTGACGTCTGTGGGAGCATAATTTTTTTCTTTAGTGCGGTACAGGTTGGACCTTATAGTTGGAGGGTGACTTTCACATAAGTAATGTCTTCTGACTTTCATAGCGATCTTGCCCATTTTAAACACAGGATAAAGGACACCCAAGGTCATGTAAATGTTGGAATGCCTTAAATCCAGAATGTTTGATTCTATCGAGTTTTTGGGAAACCATCCTAGAAAAGGAGTTGAGAGTAAGGCCAGAGGAATATGGGAACTAGTATTAAGTGAAATGGTTACTTTAGAGGAGTAGAATATGTGTGTGTGTGTGTGTGTGTGTGTGTGTGTGTGATCATTTTGATTGTATCAGCCCTAAGTGGTGCCACAGAAGAAAAAGGAGGACAGAGACAGAGGGACAAAAAGTTCTCCAAGTATAGGACACAGGTGCCAGTTCATTCACCCATGCATGCTTGATCCCAGAAATCTCTGCCACCAGATGAAAAAGGAAATGGTCTCAGCAGTGTGTTGGGAAGACCCAGAGAGGTCCTCTGGCTGCCACTTTCCCTCCTCCCGGGCTTTCAGGACTAAGCTGTGTGTGCTGAGCATCACTCATGACCTTGGCCTGCTGCTGAAAGGTGACTCCAGGCTGTTGGAAGGGCGTGGATGCTGAATGTGCCTTTGCTTGATTCCTCTTTCTTTCTTTCTTTCTTTCTTTCTTTCTTTCTTTCTTTCTTTCTTTCTGTAAATTAATTGTTCTGTAAGTTCAACTTTTTTTTTCTGTTTACTTTCATCATCATAGTACATCTATCTTCCCCAGGCACTGATGGTGGGTGATTCTGTGCTGACTTCCTTTCTGATCATCAGAAAGGGCACTGTAGGATTTTGGATAGTACTTACTCTAGCAAACAGATGGATTAGTGGTTCTGTCACTCAGAAAGTTTGTTGAATTAAGGATTCCCAGATCTCATGCATCAGATTTTCTGAATAAGAATTTTGAGATGGAACTCAAAAAGATAAGTACTTTAATCAAACATCTCAGGATACATAAATGCAAATGATCTGCAGGTTGTGCGCAAGAAAAGCTACCACTCAGCTGAGGCTTGGTTTATTTTCACAAAGTAGAAGAGTGGGTTTTACTTCATCAGGTTGTAAGCTCTTTGTGTGCACAGACCATGTGTCTATATTGTGCTGCATTTGTCGGTAGCATCTGATCCAGAGTAGGTTAAGTTCTGCTATCCACAGTTCTCAGTA